CCACACGCACGCACACCAAGGCCGGATGGTTTGTGATCCCTAGGCGGAGACGCAGCCGAGACACCCGATCCACAGCCTTTTCGTCAGCCTCTTCTGCACCATGGAATAAACACACCCGTCAGTAAGAAGATACTAGTAAGACCCTCATTAAACACTTGTGTCAGCCTCTTCTACTGCAGCCGTAGGAGCCAATAAACACTCGTCAGTAAGATAAGACTGTAGCTAAACAGTGAACGAGTAGTGGACTACATGATTCCTCTGTCAGTGAGATAAGACCATAATTTTAAGCAGTAAACACGAAAGGTCCTCCAGGTTTCGTGGGGGCCCACGGGTCGGTGACTTACGCGTGGGTTGTTGTGGCAGAGCATGTCCGGCGGGATCACGTAGAGGTCCTCGTCCACGGCTTTGACCACCCTCGCCCTGCGGGTTTTGGTGCAGCTCGCGGCGAGGTGGGCGTCGGCGGCGTCAGACACTTTCAGGTAAATTTCTATGGGCTTCCCCTGCTGCTGCTTCCTCGGCCCGTGCTCTTCGCGCAGCCCCACCACCACCTTCTGCCTCTGCCTCTGCCTCTGCTCCCCGTCCACCTCCAGCGTGCCGCTGTCACCCCACTTTACCACCTAGTGATAATGAGCACAGAGGTTACAGCAAAAAGTAACAGCGTTTTCACTGCGACCATCTGTTTTTTTTCAGGACAACGACATTTTTACTGCGACACCGGGACAGTGAAAAACTTATTATTGGACGTCATGACTCGTGACTGTATTTCGTACTACATGTTTTTGCTGGTCCTTTTGCTAGACTAGAGTGGCTGCCGCAAACGATGGTGTTTCTTCGTTTCTACGATGCTCCGAACTTTTCTACTAGTAGTAAAATAGCTTGTTCTAAACGTGTACAATACTCATTTAGTACTTCCTCCGTTCCATAATGTAGTGCCTATAGATTTTTTTGAAAAGTCAAACCTCATAAACTTCGACCAAGTTTGTGGAGAAAAACATTTACATCTAGAGTGCGTAACAGTGGCGGAGCTACGTTGGTTCCTGCAGGTGCCGTGGGCCCCCCAGCCTTGGTAAAACTACGTGGGGAATTTTTTAGGGAAGATTAAATTAAGAAAAATATTGTCTTCTGCCCCTTGCAAACACCCTTATTTCCTGTTTGGCCCCCTCAACGCATCTTGCCTAGCTCCGCCAGTGGTGCGTAACATATATCATTAGATTCATCATAAGATGTAGTTTCACATTATATATTTTTGAAATTGTAAATATAAGTCTTTTTCTATACAAACTTGGTCAAAGTTTGTAAAGTGTGACTTCTCAAAAAATCTATAGGCACTATATTATGGAAGGGAGGGAGTAGTAGTAATCCACGTATATGATGCAATCAGCAGGACTCGTCTGTTGTTTACAAAATCAGTAGCAAAACTCGTTAAGGCAAGAATCCGGCTTTTGCCGAGCAAGACTCCATGCGCTACTCACCTTCTTGAGTGGCTTCGGTGAAGCCGGCAACGAGACGAACAGGCCGGCCTGCATGGCGGAGTCCAAGCACTGGGTGGCCGGCCAGTCGCCGGCGCCGTCGCCGTACCCGTACCCGCCGTCGTCGTAGTAGTTCCACTCGCCGAACGCCGGGATCCGCCGCGGCCTCGCCCGCACCTTCTGCATGGTATAAACACATGAGCGGCATGCTAATAAGAGAAGCAAAACGCGGGAAGAGATGTAGACAGGCCGCCACAGATGCATAGATCAATGGCGTCGTCGATCGATCAGATTACCTTCATCGCAGCGGTGCGGTCAGCGACGGGCGGAGTGTCTGCTCTGCTTGCGACCTTCAAGCTGAGGTGGTGCTACGGTGCTAACGCTAGTGGTAGTAGCTAGGAGCAGAGCAGTATATTTATAGAGCGAGAGCGGGAGGAGCAGGGAGGGGTGGGAGGGAATGTTTTTGTTTTGCGCTCCAACGGGAGTAGGTGGTGGCTTGGCTACGCAAAAACAGAGCAGAGCAGAGCAGAGCAGGTGCAGTGGAGGCCAATGGTGGGTAGGGGCCGCCTCTGTGGGAGCACCCGTACGTACGGGTCAAACAGGTGAAGATGCAGGGGCGTCACTCACCAGGACTGTGGCTGACTGCCGCGTACGTGCTCACCGCAGCGCGTACGCCCAGCTTCGTCCCGTTCGCTTCTTCCCCTTCTTCTTTTTCGCTGCCTTCATTTTGTTCACTCAATTCTTTCTCTTAAACCTCATATGTTCATGTATATTCAAGAGATGCTCCCTCCACAACAAAATACAGACGTTCTTCATGCCCTATGCGAAACCGAAAAAACGTCTTATATTTTGGTACAGAGCGGGCATATGAGACCCTATTTTCTTTCAAATGAAAGACGCATGAAAAGCTAATTTCTGTTAAATGTTTGTGTATTTTATGTAAAGGTGTTGCATGTCTCAAAAATTTAGTCATGTATTTCTTTTTCAAAAATAAAAAAAGATCACGCGTCTTCATAAAGGTGGTCCGTATTTTACTAATATCCTACATATGGTCAACTGTTATTTTACACACAAAAAAGAGTATATTAAAAGGGTGTTCACGGTGTATTTAAAAAATCTTCATGTAATTCAAAACAGTGTTCACGACTAAAAAGAATGTTCATCGTGTATTCACCAAACGTCCATCGTGTGTTAAAAAACAGTTTGACGTCTATTTAAAAACTTCAACATGTATTAGAAAAAAACAAATCTGGAGGGAGTGGTCAGAGCACGACACATGGTGGCAGCTAAGAGCGCGTCAAGTGATGCGCTCTCAGTCCACCCCCAAGCGATCGTTGGGGGGCTCTCGAAGGAGCGCTCATCAACTAGTTGCTCTCTATTGTTCCATCGTTCTCGCCTGAAGTGTCTACAGTTAAGGGCCGGCCCATTCGTGCATACTTAAAAGAAATAGACTGGTTAGAACATGCGCAAAGGCTTTATTTTATTTTATTTCCTTTTTCATCATTTTTCTTTGTTTTGTTTTTGTTTTTTCATTTGTTTCCTTTTGTTTTCTCTCATATTTACATTGTTTTTTATGTACATTTTTGGTACACATGTAGTACATGTTTTTAATACACTTTCAATAGTTTTCAAATACAAAATTAATATTTATTTAATACATGGTCAACATTTTTTCCTATACACACTTACCATTTTTTAATCCTTGGTTATTATTTTTCAAATACTAGATTAACATTTTTTCTATACGTGGTCAACATTTTTTCGATACACATTTTACAGTCTTTTTTCATATCCTTGATTGACATTTTCTCCAAGATTAAAAAAGAAAATTCAATACATGGTAAACATTTTTTCGCTACACATTTAACATTTTTTCAAATTCTTGATTTACATTTTTCAAATACTATATTAACATTTTTGGAATACATGGTCAATATTTTTATAAAAATAAAAAATTTCAAATGCTTGATTATCATTTTTTCAGATACAGGATTATTTAAAAAAAATGGTGAACAGTTTTATACACATTTAACATTTTTCAAATCCTTGATTAACATTTTTCAAATACTTGTTAAACATATTTTCAAATGCTTATATTAACATTTTTAAATACATTATCGACTTTTTCCAGACACGTTATATATCTTTTGTATACATTTTTCGTATACATGAGAAACATTTTCTGTGTACATTTAACATTTTCCACATGCCTGATTAATATATTTTTTGAAATGTTTTGTGAAAAGAATTTTCGTAATATGTTTATTTAGAAAATTGGAAGTATAAACTAAGTAAAAAATAAAAACATGAAAAAACAAAAATGAGGCAATGGCCTCCCGTGCACTGGCTGGCCCATACGCTCGTGTGACTGCTAGGCGCTTCATTGAGTAGGAAGGTTGCCTATAACATGTAGAAGAAAGCCATCCAACGGAACAAAAAAGCAGTAGAAAAATATTTATTGGGCCGAGCCGGTCTAAACAAGTTTTGGTACCGAGGCGATGTAAAGAAAGAAGTAGTTTTCACCCTCAGATCCCACTCAATGTCTCCATAACCTCCAAAACAAGAATTTGGTATGATTTACACCCTGAAAATGTCAAAACCATTTTAATCAAACCCTGAGTGGTTTAGTGTCGCATCAAAAACTATTTTGCCTGGTGGTCTATGATTTGGCGCATCTGACTAGGTGTTGACTTGGCAAATGTGTTTACTTTTCCCCATTCTCCCCCTTCTTTGTTTCTTCCCGTGCCCGTGGCGGTGGAACCCTAGGGATTCAAATCCCCAACCCTAACGCGGCGGAAGCACCACAAACTCCAAAATAAGCAGCCGAAAGATATGATGTTGTCGTCTACGAGTCGTCTGTGAGTCACGCTTCGTTTTCCAGGTCACTTGTGCCATATCGCGAGCTGCCACTGCAGGATGAGAGAAGCCATGTGGTTGCGGCATCAAGGCTTCTCTCCTGTGTTTGGTGTCGACCAACATGTTATACACTGATTTGATAGAGAAGTTCCCATGCTTTTTGAAATTCTGAGCCAAAATATCTTGTATGTTGCGCATGCATAGGGGAATCCCAAGGATTACCTTGGCGTCCATAAGCATGAACACATCGTTGACTCACTGCATATCCCAGGACGCGGATGTTGGATCAATGAGCTCAAAAATGATCTCTAGCGGGTTTGGAGTGATACACCCGTAAGGCCGGAGCATCTCGTCTCTCGGTATCCAATTGTCCTCCCAAATTCTTGTCTCATGACCATTATGAAAGCACAAATGCTCCCTGGGTAATTTTGGTAATTAATGTCAACATATCTTTTGTTGGACTAATATTTTCATCTAGTATATTTCAGATAAGTTCAACAATGGAGTGGCTTGGACAAGAGGATGTGGAACCCCTTCAACATGCTAAGGACAAAGATTGGCTCAAGCTCAAGACTTTACATTTTCATTTTAGTGATCCAAGATCACATTGAGTCCATAGAAAAGTCAATACTATTAAAAGGGGATGGGGTGTTGCTTAATGGCTTGCTTGCTCAAAATGCTTAGTGATATGCTCCAAAAGCCTTCAACCACTTTCTCATTTCCACATATGTCCTAAACCAAAAGTCAAACTCGGCCCACCGAATTGATCTATCCGGCGCCACCGAGTTCACTTGACATAGCCACTGCCAGAAACGCTAATCAGTTCGGTCTCACCAATGGGATCTCGATCTCACCGAGATGAGCTTGCAAACTCTCTGTTACCTGTTGCGATAATTTAGGTCTCACCGAGATATGCAATTGTAGGATCTAGAAGTAGATGTGTCTAGAGGGGGGGTGATTAGACACTTAGTGCTAAAGTTGCAATTTTTAGGCCTTTTTGGTTTGAGTGGAGTTTTAGGCACAATTTCAACATACACAATACATATCAAGCAAGCATGCAAACAGTATATGAGCAGCGGAATGTAAAGCATGCAACTTGCAAGAATGTAAGGGGAAGGGTTTGGAGAATTCAAACGCAATTGGAGACACGGATGTTTTTCCCGTGGTTCGGATAGGTGGTGCTATCCTACATCCACATTGATGGAGACTTCAACCCACGAAGGGTAACGGTTGCGCGAGTCCACGGAGGGCTCCATCCACGAAGGGTAATGGTTGCGCGAGTCCACGGAGGGCTCCACCCACGAAGGGTCCACGAAGAAGCAACCACCCACGAAGGGTCCACGAAGAAGCAACCTTGTCTATCCCACCATGGCCATCGCCCACGAAGGACTTGCCTCACTAGCGGTAGATCTTCACGAAGTAGGCGATCTCCTTGCCCTTACAAACTCCTTGGTTCAACTCCACAATCTTGTCGGAGGCTCCCAAGTAACACCTAGCCAATCTAGGAGACACCACTCTCCAAGAAGTAACAAATGGTGTGTAGGTGATGAACTCCTTGCTCTTGTGCTTCAAATGATAGTCTCCCCAACACTCAACTCTCTCTCATAGGATTTGGATTTTGTGGAAAGAAGATTTGAGTGGAAAGCAACTTGGGGAAGGCTAGAGATCAAGATTCATATGGTAGGAATGGAATATCTTGGTCTCAACACATGAGTAGGTGGTTCTCTCTCAGAACATATGAGTTGGAATTGTGTATGTGTTCTGATGGCTCTCTCTACGAATGAAGAGGAGGTGGAGGGGTATATATAGCCTCCACACAAAATCCAACCGTTACACATGATTTACCAATCTCGGTGGGACCAAATCAACAAACTCGGTCAGACCGAAATAGGAAACCTAGTGACCGTTAGAGATTTTCGGTGGGACCGACTGGATCAACTCGGTGGGACCAATGTGCTAGGGTTAGGGTAAATCCAAAACTCGGTTTGACCGATTACTCAAACTCGGTGGGACCAATTTGGGTAATAAGTGAAACAGAGAGTTGGCCAAGCAAACTCGGTGGTGCTGATTGCATATCTCGGTGGGACCGAAAATATTGCAATAGGTAACAGAGAGTTTGCAAGCCCATCTCGGTGAGACCGAACTGATTAGGGTTTCTGGCAGTGGCTATGACAGGTGAAACTCGGTGGCGCCGGATAGGAATAATCGGTAGGTCCGAGTTTGGCTTTGGGTTTAGGTCATATGTGGAAGTGGGAAAGTAGCTGAGGATTTTGGAGCATATCATTAAGCACATGAAGCAAGAGGCTCATTAAGCAACACCTCATCCCTCCTTGATAGTATTGGCTTTTCCTATGGACTCAATGTGATCTTGAATCACTAAAATGTAAAATGAAGAGTCTTGAGCTTGAAGCTTTAGCCAATCCTTTGTCCTTAGCATCTTGAAGGA